AATGGAATTAATGTATCATACGGATAACAAATATTTGTGTAACAGAAAATCTGCTGCATTCAATAGTAGTACTAGCTTATACAAATAGTTTTCATTAAAACGTTCTCTCATACACTTCGGGGAAAGAAAAAAAAAAAAAAAAAAAAAAAAAAGAATTCCATTTCAAGTAAGCATTATTATTTACTTTCTACACGCACCGAATTCTATCCTTTTTACATATGCGGCAGAAATTATATGTATATCCACGTGATTTTTAAAGTGCATTAAAATTTTTTAACGTGTATCTGATAGGTTATTATGGATAGTTTATTTGTCAGCATTACTACAACTAATAAAAGTCGCTTCTAACGGTCATACTGCACGGAAAGACTTCATCAATAAACACAACAATGGCTAGATTTTCTGATTTAAATCTAAGCATGGCGATTTTCGTTTTAAACATACAGTGGTTGCCAACAAAAGGACATACTGTATGTAAATGCTCTAGAAATCGGGGGGGATGGTAAACGTTTTAAATTTATATGCAACAGAATATGAGTTTTATTACTGTAGAAAGCTTACATTTTTTACCCATTTAATCAGGAAATTTAAAATCACCACCAGTCGGAGATTAATTTAAGAGTGTGATTAATTTGGCAAATATTGGAAAATTTATATAAAATAAGCTAATTTCAGGTAAGAATTTGTCATTCCCCATTGATGAACTCGCAGTGCTAACATGAAAAGTGATCAGTGGATATTTAATTATAGGTCAAAATATGAAACAAAATTCCACATAATGTTTTTTTTCCTTAAGCTAGAAATGACAACTTTAAACTGGTATTAGTACGTCAAACTATATTTTGTAATAAAAATAATAATCTGTATATCATTTATAGCATTTTTAACATAAATGTAAAAATCCAACGATTCTATAGCGAAGTACGTAATGTATGACCGTTAGAAACAACTTTTATTAGCTGCAATAACGCTCAAAAATAAACTATCCATAGTTACCTATCAGATGCATTAAAAAATTAAATTAACTTTAAATCATGTCAATTAAATATGCTACTAAAATTAAAATAAAGATTTCAATTATCAACAAAAAGATCCGTTGCTTTTACAGAGATGCAATTATAGTTTTATGGATGAATTAAGTTCTTATATTTTGCCGAAGAGCAAAACTCTGAGAGCTGGCTATTTGTCTTTCCAAGTGAAAAGTATACATTCAAGATCTTATGTTTCGCACAATGGCAACAACTGCCAAATCCCGTGGACGATAAATACATGGTATAATATTACTCAAAGTAACTTAAAGATTTCTTTTAATCCTTTTTCTAATAACAAAATTACTTTTAGGGTACCGCAGGCTTCCGTTCTTTAGAAATTAACTGCAATTATCTTACATCAGTGACTCTTAACTGTGTTCCACGGATTCCTGAAGGAGGGTGACCGAGAGTTAACAGTCAAAGGAACGCGAGAGGTTCTTCAAATTTATATTTTATTTATTGTGTGATTCTTTCTTGAAAAATACAATAAAAACCACCAGGGTGGTTAATGAATAATGGGTCGAGCAAAGAGCACAACATACAAAAAGACCATCCTCGAATTTATGAAATTTAAGAATTGCTGCTTTACACGATAAGTTACGTAAATATAAATTTGTACTCCATGAGTCATTTACAGTATTAATACAATTTGTCTACCCTTTTCCGTATAATTTGATTAATGCAATTTGGAGCGTGTCTCGGTCATAGGCTATTCTGCTGAAAACTATTGATCTGAATGTCCTTAGAAAAAGGTCTGTAAATAGATGAAGGTTATCACGTCGAAATGTAGCCAAGCTTTAGCCTATGAGCGTAGCAAATTAGCTTGGAAGATCATATTTTCTTTTGAAAATGTGCATTAAACTTCGATAGATGAACAGTTCACTTTTTACAACTAATTTGTTACAGCAATTTGTACTTTTCCTTTTCTCCAAATTATGTTACTGTATAATAATAACGTCGATTCAATTTTCACATTTGCCATAATAAACTAAGTCAATCCTAATCACATGGCAACTAATTCGACTAGATCAAAGCTGATACTGAGTGAGTATTAAATATATTACCCTTCTTCATTGGAACTGTGCAAAATTCAATTGTTGCTTCTTTCTTCTAAACAAAACTAAAGCCCTGCGTTAGTGCTAATTAACATATTATACATCCAATACTGCTAAGTTTATTTTGGTTATCAAACCTAATTATACATCTAACAGCAAAAAAACAAATTATTTTAAAATTTCACTTTAATGAACGACTAGGAAAAATATGAAACTCAGTAAAGAAGACTAAAGACAAAAAAGATATGTTGCAACTCCTTTTATTTCTTTCAACATAAGATCCTAACTATTGGTGCACCTTTAAAATTTCCTCAACAAGAAGCATTTTTGTTCACTAAAATCCTTAACATTATTAATATGAACATCGAATATCTCTTTTACATTTAAAATACGCTAACTTTCCAAGATTTACATTCTTAGAAAAATGTTTATATAATAGGTGCGTTTCTTACAAGAACTTCTAATGCATTTCCAATCAATGCGCGTTTCTATTCGATCTGAAGAAAATGAACTTTTAACGCCAATTCAATTTTCATATTTGCCATAATAAACTAAATCAATCCTAACCACATGGCAACTAAATCAACATAATTAAGGCACATTTCTGAACTTGTTTAGCTCCACATGAAACATTAAAAGCTATTGAAGTTACGTTCAGATCACGTATTCAGCATTTAAAAATGATAAAATAAATTATACTGAAAGAGTATTAGAATGTTTGTTAATTTAATGGATTTTCAAGAGAAATAAAGGCTTACTTCTCTAGGTTTTACTTTATTTTATCAATAGTTACTTTTAGTTTTAAGACAGCTTTCCTGTACCTCTTTATTTTTCTACCTGAACCTGTTTTCAGTTTCACGCTTTATGCAAAGTAGAGGGAAAATTACTATCTACTTAAACTGAGGCTGGAGGTACTTCAGTTAGAGAGCGTGGTCTGCCTTTCCGCCACGTTGTTGCAAAAGTTTGTTGGTTTACGGCCGTATATATTACGTGCTCGCTAGCCTAAGCCGGTGAGCTTATATAAGGGCCAACTCTGTTAGTTAATTCTGTGTAGCTTAGGCTGTTTTATTTTAATTAGTGTTATATTAGTTTTATATTTTCTATATTGAATTAAAGCCCGAATGGAGGCTTATTGTAAGCCCGAGAAGGTGCCAATTTCGAGTTAGAATAAAGGGGAAATTTAACCCTTCTTTGGACTTCTTTCTTACACAGTTCTTCAATACTTTAGCTCTCAAGAACTTCTAATTTAACTAGGATATTACAGTCTCAAGCGAGGCCATTTTGGTTAGGTTGTTTAAAGCCAGACGCTTGAAGTTGTTTTCGCAAGCTCACAATAATTTAATGTATTCACAATCAGAAACACTTAAATTTATGAGAATTAAAATCAGAACTGTTGATGAAATTTTTGTAAATAATGTGAAGCAACTCTGCGTTAGTGATGTAAAGTGTAACTGAACAATGAAAATTTCTTAGAATTTTACATGCAAATATGCATTAAGTGTTGCAAAGTTATTTTGTTTCAAAAGCGAATTTTTTTTTCATGCTGTAGAGTTGCGCGCCTCCAACTTGCACGCAACCAAGAGGGTGACTGGAAAAATGACAGAGTCTTGCTAAGGGTTTACACGAAACTTTAATGCACTTTTGCGGTTAGCATATTAGGTATAGTTGTGCACGCAAGGTGTTATAGAGGTCTCGGAAGTTGGAAGAAGTCCCTTTTTATTCAACTTAAGAAGTTACAAGTGCGTGCTCTTGACGCTCACAAACTACGCCGACTCGGCGTTAAAATAAAAATAAGAACCTGAAAAAGAAACTAATAACAAGACTCTAACTACGAGGCTCTCTAAAAGTAACTAACCTCACCGCGCTTTACAATACCGCTGCTAATTCAGCAAACTTTGAATATCACGTTGAACGATTAACAATTCTCCAAGGCAAGCACAGCCCACCAGCGGCCGAGCGGTAAAGTCGCTAAACACTGTTCGGTCCGAGGTTCGAATCCCGCGAACGGGCTGGCTGCATGGGTGTTTTCGTGGTTTTCCCCATGTGTAACGTGTATACGAGCCAGTTTCCCTTAGAAAGTCCTCCACGAAGGCATCCCTCCCCTTAGGCAGATAGCCCTAGTGTGCTTTGCCATAATTAAATACACACCAAGGCAAGCACACAGGCCGAAACACGGGGTTCTTCAATTTCTGGCTAACTACCTCCGCGCTCGTGAAGTAAGAACAGCACACCTCGAACTCGTTTCCTTTCTATTTAACTCAGAATACTTCCGCTGATAATTTGAATCCTTGCGCGTTCTACTAAAATTTACATACTCTGGCATTGGCAGTTCCAGGGGAAAGTAAGGCTTGACAGGAAAGATAGTTTAAACTTAAAATAAATGTTAGTTAAAATAAATATAAACCCTACAATGCTAAAAGTAAACATGCTTAGAAGTTTAACTGTTGTTGATGAATTTAAATGATTTACTTGCAAGCAAGTGAAAAGTATGAATGAAGCTAAGTTAGGCTCTCCAGTTTACACGAAACTTTAATGCACTTTTGCGGTTAGCATATTAGGTATAGTTGTGCACGCAAGGTGTTATAGAGGTCTCGGAAGTTGGAAGAAGTGTTGGCTTCCTGTACGCCCAAGGAGGGGCCGTCTGTAAATATCTTGAGTTCAAATAAAATAGTATTTTAACCCTTCTTCGGAATTGTTATTTACGCAACACGAACTTGGCGAATACATAGTTCTATTAGGTCAAAGGACTTTATTTCAGCTAGAACATTACACTTTGAGAATTATTTTTATTTTATATTATCGTAACAATTAATACAAGATTTTGTTCAAGAGTAAAAAATCAGTGCGCTGATTAATTCATGAAATTTGCGGATGATTTGTTCGAGAATTTACTAGGGAAAAATTCAGTACAAACCTTAGAGATATCAGCAGCTGTGTTCTCGGTTTCTACTTGGTCTTCTTTTTCTACATCTTCTTCTATTTTAATTAATGCTTCTTTGTGGTTCAATGTGTTATTTGTAATAACTCGGTTCTGAAAGAAGGAAAACAAATTTTTAACATCTTTCCAAAAATGTAAAAAATTAAAAGAAATATTCACATTTGAAAATGATTGATAACAATGCAATAATTACAAAAAACTTGGCCATAAATTTATTTGCACAAATTTTCATAAACCGTATGATTATGTAATCGATGCGTAATGTCACTTATGGAGAAAGAAAACAAGAGGAAAGGAAAGCAAAATCACGAAATAAAGTTATTTGCAAAAAAATAAAAAATCGATTGATAAGTTTTGATAATTGAGCGAAGCTTAATAAAAAGATAATTGTTAAGCAAAGAATGCTTTTTGCTTAATTATAGACGCACAGAACATAGACAAAATTAATATAAAGATCGTTCTTTTAAAATAAGATTCGTGATTTTTATTTAAAAAATTCGAAACGCTGCTGATATGAAGAATGTAAGGTCTCTCAGTATCTCAATTTCTAATATTAAGCGTACTGATTAAAACAATTACATCTCAACAAAGCAAAACCTACAGATTAGTAACAGATTCTATAAAATTATATTTCTAGTTATAACAAATTCAGAAATATGATATTTAAAGCCTGAACTCGGCATTTAGCACGTAATTAATGAGTAAAATCCGATTACATTACTGCGAGCAGTGAGATAGGTTAGATTAGGTTATTGTTATTTCAATATTTCAAAGTCCCTAAAGGGCTACTTGCATAAGAGGTATGGTTTATTTAATTACGGCAAAGCACTCGAGGGCTATCTACGTAAGGGTAGGGATGTTTTCATGGAAGACTTAGTAAGGGAAACTGGCTCATATATATGTTATACATTGAGGAAAACCACGAAAAGGCCTATGCAGCCAGCCTGTTCGTCGTGACTCGAACTTCCATTTGGTTTTGGTTTGGTTTATTTAATTACGACAAAGCACTCTAGGGCTATCTGCCTAAGGGGGAGGGATGCCTTCGCGGAGGACTTTCTAAGGAAAACTGGCTCGTATACACGTTACACATGGGAAAAACCACGAAAACACCCATGCAGCCAGCCCGTTCGCGGGATTCGAACCTCGGACCGAACTACCAGTGTTCAGCCACTTTACCGCTCGGCCGCTGGTGGACGACTCGAACTTCGGACCGAACTACCAGTGTTCAGCAACTTTACTACTCGGCCGCTGGTGGGCCTCTACCTATGAGAAGGGATACCTTTTGGAGTGCTTTCTGAAGGAAACTGGCTCGTATTGACGTTACGCATGTGAAAAATCATGAAAACCATCCATGCAAGCAGTCCCCCTCACCTGGTATCGATTCCTAATCAGGTCGAACTACTAATATTCGGCGGTCTTAACCATTCCGTCACTAGAGAGACCCGAGTACTGGGAAAAAAACACCAATTGGGCAGAAGATCTGACCAAGACAAATCACTGATTTTTCAAGAACTAGCTTTTACTGAATAAAGTTTTATTTGTTGTGTTTCAATGCGAATCCATGCATTTTAAATTTACTATTTGGCATGAGAATGAATATATGAAAATCACAGCAAAGATTAATATAGTAATAGAGTGAGAGTCCAATTATCCGGAAATCAGAGTATTCTTAATTTCTGTTATCCATATCTCTTGTTCTATTCCACGCTAAGTAAAACTACGTCTGTTGTTAATTTTCTATTGGATTTTAATTTAGCGCTGATTTACATTATACAAAACTATAATTTAATAAAATGTATGAAATTGTTGATTTCATTATTTTTACATCAATAAAATATTTCTTGGTTCAATTTTAGTTGAAATTGATTAAGCGCAACTCGCTTGGCCGCCTGTTCCAGACTGCTGTGTAATTACATTTTTTTATTTCACTTCTTGTGGTAAAAGGAAAAAAAAAATTAGTAGTTTCTCTCCGTTTATTATGAATTTAAGTTCTTATTCAATTTTAAAAAATTGCTTTCTTTATCTAATTTCAGAAGTGAAGACGAAAGCATGATTGTATATTAGTTTTTAGAATTACGTCATAAAAAAAATTTATCCTCTTGTTTTATTTATTTGGAACACAAATTCATTGTGTATTTAGGTAAGTAAAGATAACTTCATAGTTTATTTTGCCAGAAAATGATATGTTTCGCATTTTGTTTTCCGAAAGAATTTTTTGAATGTATAATTCTAGTTAAAACATGGTACGACAGATGAAAAAGTGAATTTTTAAAATTTTATATTAAACATATATAATTTTCCTGCGAAAGTACAACCATCCAGTTAACTGGATTTTTTTCAAATGCTTGAAATTCAACCTTGAATGATAATTTTAAAAACTATAGTTTTCCTCTCGAAAAGAAAAGAATGAAAAGAAAATATTCTCGGACAATTTCCTTTCTTGATTCTCCAGGTGGACACGTTAATAACTACATAGTAAGGTTAAGTAACCGTTTCTCATTAAAAAAAAAAAAAAGAATAAAAGGAAAAAATAAACAAATATATAAAACGAAAGTACTTGATATTTAGAGCTGCCGTGTTAAAGAACACCATAAGTTAGAAAATTCGAAATTATTATAACTGGAACTTTTAAATTCTCAGCCTAACGAAATAATGCAAGCTATACAGTTGTCAAAGGTAAGTTATTATCAGCACACGAATAAAGGAATTACGAACAATTAAACTATAACTAAAAGTTTATTTGAATCGTAACCTCTGGAATATAACTTAAAATAATGTGCAATACAAAAAGAAAAAAAAAAAATTAACTTGTTAGCACGCGAATAAGTACGGCAGCTGGCCCAAATCCGCTAACGAGCTATATTTCTGCCTACTAAATCAGTTATAAACACCTGGATGTATTCCAAATTTTTAATTTCAGTTTTTACTTTTTCCAAATGACGCCTAATTTACAGTCAGCGAGCAGCGCCAAAGTAACCTCTAAAACGGAGAACATTTCCTGATGTAGGAACTAATCACGCGACGTTTGCGCGTAAGTTGTAGGGGAGAAACAGCTGCAGTTATATAATCCTGACGTACTAAATGAAACTTATATAAAACATCTAAATTGGGTAATTTATTCAGACGGAAGCCAAGAAGGTGGAAAAACTTTAAAACATTTAATTATTAGGAAATTTGCATATAATTGCTACAATATGTCAGCTCAATACACTGACTACCAATAAGTATTTGGACACCTATGCAAATGACGATATCTGCGGTCCTAAGGTACGTCACAGACTCCGCCGGTATATATCGTGTAGGAAACAGCATCGGCTTTAGTCTCATGCACGATGCTTCTCAGTTCGGAGCTCTCTGATTTCGAGAAAGGTATAATTATCGAGTATCACAAATGTGGCCGATCCTTAAGGGACATATATAGCGATTTGAAGTACCCAAAATCGACAGTGGCCTATGTGATCTAGAAGTGGAAAGTGAGCGGTGATTGTCGGAATGTGCCCCGAGTCGGCAGACCAACGAAACTGGGAGATAGAGACCGACGAGTGCTGTCCAGAGAAATTCGGAAGAACCGCACCCAACCGATAGCCCTCATCCGCGAGGAGTTTCAACAGGCATCCGGAGTATTGTTTCAATGAATACCCTCCGTAAGGAAGCACATCTACTTAAGTTTCCATGGTCGTGCTGCTGCCCATAAGCCTTTGATCACAAAGTCCAACCGCGCTGCTCGGTTAATGTGGTGCAAAGCACATCGATATTGGACCGTAGATCAGTAGAAACGGGTTCTTTGGAGTGACGAATCAAGGTTCTCCCTTTACCGTTCGGATGGCAGGGTCTGGGTCTGGCGTCTATCTAGAGAACGTCTCTTGCCAGAATGCATTGTGCCAACAGTCAAGTTCGGCGGAGGTGGAATTATGGTCTGGGGGTGTTTCTCCTGGTACGGGCTGGGGCTCTTGGTCCCCATTCATGGTAAGCTCAACTCCGATGCCTACTGCACTATTTTGGATGACAATGTACTTCCTACGTTGTGGCAGTTTTACGGGTTGGACCCCTGTTACTTTCAGTACGACAATGCCAGTTGTCATGTTTCGACGTTAACCAAGGCTTGGTATGGTGCCAATGGAGTTCATCGAATGGACTGGCCTGCCCATATTCCAGACCTGAACCCTATCGAGAACCTCTGGGACGAGTTGCATCACCGAATTCAGGGGTGCACTACCCGTGCAAATCGGTGAAGGAACTTCTATGTCTTCTCTAAGCCGAGTGGAAGAAAATACCACTAGCTGTCATACAAAGACTTGGGGAAAGTATGTCCCGGAGGGTCCACACTGTAATTACCTCTCGTGGAGGCTCTACCAACTATTGATTTTGAATAAAGTTAGTTTTTCTTTTCTATCACATGTGACCAAAATACTTATTGGTAGTCAGTGTATATCATAAAATCAGGGATAAAATTTAACATATATCCAACTAAATGTCACTCATCGGTAAAGGTAATATTACTGGATCCACCGACAATTACTAGTTTATCAAAAATATGTAAAATTAGTCGACACGATGGAAAAGATTGGTTTGGCTTAGTGTATTTAATTATGCAAACCACTCAAAGGCTCTCTGCTTAAAGGTAGGGATGCCTTCGTATTAAACTTTCTAAGGGAAACTCGTTCGTATACACGTTACACATGGGGAAAATCACGAAAACGTCCATGCAGCAAGCTCGTTCTCCTGAACCCCGCACCAAACTACCAATGCTCAGATACTTTACCGCTCGATCGCTGCTGGGGCTCCGATAGAAAAGAATTCGTGCAAGTAGAAAATAATAAGAAATCCTCTATTTCTTCAAACATAACTAAGAGGTTAAGCACGTGGAAGATTGTAAACATAATTTAAGTACATTCAACGTTTAATTGAGTATACGACATATCTCAGCAAAGCTGCCTAAAAAACTGCTAAAATTCTGACTACACCGCCTGGTTCTGTCCGTGGTTCTGATTTGTCCATTTGTTTAAATGATTATATTAAAAGTACGCGAGCGAAGGGGGATTGTCTAAGGGCTCTATATGGAACTGAATTTTGTTCACGTCACACTAAGCGAAAAGCAGGAAAACACCCATGCAGCTAGCTTGTACACAGAGATCCCAGTCCAGATGGAGCTACCAGTTGTTGTTGTTGTCTTGTACATGTAATTTCATGGAAGAATGGTTGCCATAGCCTCAAGGAGGTTGGACTTTTATCCCCCCTCAATTTTGTGAGAGAGCACGCTGGGGGGGGAGGTCTGGGGGTCTCCCACCCCTCTCACCTACCACCTAACCACACGAGAGGACTTTCGGCTTGACATATATTTAGAGTGCGCCCATGCCGAAAAGACACAAGCATTTACAAACATCCATGCCTTCTCCGGGATTTGAACCCGGGGCCTTCGATACCGCATTAGGCTCCTCTAACCACTCTACCGTCTAGGCGGCGGAACTACCAGAGTTCAGCGGTTTTAGCCGCTCGGCTTCTGATGCGCCCATGGACTCGGAATTATGGAGCCTTATCAACACCGCTTTAAAGGGATAATACTTTTGACCTATTTCTTATTAATTTCTTGACGGCCTGCCTCAGGTTGTTGCTGTTATTTTTATTATTATCTATTGTAATGAATGAAAAAATAGACAGTTTCTTTCCTTTTATTGCAGATAAATTTTTTAAACTTCTTTATACTTTTGCGTATGCGTAAAATCTAAGAAGAAAAGAAAGAACCGAGTGGTCACAAATCATTATCCAATAACTAAGTAATAAAAAAATATTTTATTATTTATCTAACGGAGTTTATCGCAATAAAAAAAGACAAGTTAAAAAAGAGACAAATTTTCATATCTGCTGCACGTGAAAATCATTTTAACAGGAAGAGGTAGTCCAGTGGGCAGAAACCGGTCCTTTCGCACTAATGGGTCAGGAGGAGGGAGAAAATTTTTTTTGTTCTCTCTTCAGTGGTTTTCTTACCACAGCATCTGTGAAGAAAGCGCAGTTTCGTGTTTGTTTATTATTATTTCTCGCGTTAAACATCGCGGCAGTTTACAAACACTAAACTACTCGTTTGTAATGTGTTTAAGCTCTGTTTAAATTAAAGAATACCGAAACCATTTTTTTACCACAAATAATTCATAATGAATAGCATTTTGTAATTTAGAAAACATTTGGTTCTGCTTTGCAAAATAAAATGGTAACATTTACAAAAAAATAAATTCTGTTCATTACAAAGGGAAGTCAGTTAGAAAAATGGATTTATGGAATTAAACTTTTATTTGAACTGCATGCACCGGTAAGTACTCATTGCAGTGTATTCTGCACACAAGAGCAAAACGAAGCAATAAACATTTAAACTTATTGAACTACAAAGTCGATAACTATCGCAGATTTTCACGAACAGCGTACAAAAATCCAGAGCAAGATTACCGTATATAATTTTATATAAACAATTGTTAAACTTCCTGAGATAAAGTGACCAAATATATTGGAAAATTTTCAAATCTTTCTCCACAACATATGATCAGTTCTGAAATCGGTATTTCTGTATGTCAAGCATCAGACTGAATAAAATTGGACAAAAGCTAAGAGAAATTCTGAAATTTGCGGGAGATGAATACTCAACCTTTGTGGTGTAATAGTAAAAGCCTGCGAAAATGACCATCCGATGTAGATAATGATCTAATGTACTTTTGTTAGTAGTGCGCAATGATGAACTTCTGAGATATAACTTTTCTTTTCAATGCTTAAGCTTTATTGGATACTTTTGTTAGTAGTGCGCAATGATGAACTTCTGAGGTATAACTTTTCTTTTCAATGCTTAAACTTTATTGGATACTTTTGTTAGTAGTGCGCAATGATGAACTTCTGAGGTATAACTTTTCTTTTCAATGCTTAAGCTTTATTGGATATTTTAGAATCACAACTGTTTCTCAATAAACTATGGTGGTTTAACTCATATGAAATATTAGTATTCTTGACTGTACATAATTTTTTTTCTTCAGACATTCCTGTAAGACCTTGCGCATTATCTCAAATGCAGTGAGTACGCAATAAGAAACTGAAGTTAATTTGTAGGAGATGAGTATCAACAGGTAAACGCTTTTGTCATTTCTCAAAACTCAAAATTTAATGAGCATTAAGATAACATCGGTATAATTATTAAATTAATTAAACGATTATTATATCTCTACGTTATCGTAAAACAAAAGCTAGAACCATAAATTAAAATAGTAATAATTTATTTTATAAACAATGGTTCAGAAGATTAATATTTTTGCAAATATTTTAACTTTTGGAACTTAAGAACTCTAGCTAATTAGGCTAATGAAGGACGGCCCACGGAAATCCGATAGTCAAGCTGAAACTAACACTATGTAATATTACTCAAACGTTTATTTATTTTTCAAAAGAAGAGGATATACTATTATGTCATTTATTGCAAGAAAACCATTCCTCTCCTCTCTTTTGAACAACACATTTTTCAGACGCTCTTCGCCATTTGGATCATACTGATTGGTGTAGTTGAATTTGTTAAGTAGAAGTATCCCGAGTTTATTAATGTACATTTAAGATATCAATAAACAAAATAACTGCACAGAGTCTGGAGAGCATGAAGACTGTAAAACATTTCTTTATTTCGCATAATACACTCGGGAAATATTTGCTTGAAAGCAACAATGGATTTTTCCGCCAAACTATACTACTGCCCCACCAGCGGCCGAGCGGTAAAAGCCGCTTAACACTGGTAGTTTGGTCCGGGGTTTCAAGTCCCGGTGAACGGGCTGGCTGCATGAGTGTTTTCGTGGGTTTCCCCGTGTTTAGCGTGGATACAAGCCAGTTTCCCTTAAAAAGACCTCCATGGGGCATCCCTCCCTTTCCATGCAGTGCCTAAGGGCGGAGCACGTAATAAGCAAAACAAAAACTATACTGCTGAAAAAATCATTAAGTCGTTTGAAAAATTTGCTGTTAAAAAAATAATAGTGCGAAGGCAGGAATGTTACTATTATAATAGATGACACTGCATACGATATTGTGTTGCAAAACAAACAAATATTTGTTTGTTAATTTTGTTTGCAACAAAAACAAACTTAGCAGACATTTAATTCTTATCGCACAATAGCCTGAAAAATTACATCTCACGCTGTTGGTTTCAAGTTGATAATTGTCATATTTCCGTCGTTCATTTAGCATATTTGAAATTTTGAAAAAATATTTATTTTTCAGATGATTAAAAAAATTGACATGTATGCTTTACTAACATTTAATCTGGTGAATACGACGAAGGAACGTTAAAACAGAATCAAACCTTAATTTTGTTTGTAAACAAAAAAAGGAAGCAATTAAGTGAAACACACCTTTTCTCCAATATCTTCCTCCTCTCCGCTAAGAACTTTCTCATCTTCGTCTTCCTCTTCGATAATTACCTTCTCGTCTTCGGAAAGTCCTTCTGAAATACCACGCTCTTTAGCATCCTCCAGGTAGCTCAAGATGTCAATTTTGGACGCTCCCTCGAAAAATGACTTCTGGTTCGATTCTAGCGACGTCAATCCTAGTTTAAAAAAGAAAGAAAGAACATGAAATACGCATTATTAGTTATGGCCAATTGTGAAATTAATGGACGACGTAAGGTATTTAAAGTACAAATATTTTTACCATAAATAATAAAAAAGTTATTTAATTGAAACCCGAATTATCAGAAACTGTTAAATCAAAATAAATTATCAGAAATACTGATCTTTCTTTCGCTAAATCAGCACCACATGAAAACCGCAGTGACAACTCAGATATTCCGGGAACAGCGGGGTTGGACGAAAATCAGATATTTCATGAAATACTACAGTTATTTCAACTTATTTTTAAGTGTTTTCAATTCATAGAATCTAAATATACTAATTTCTTTCATTTATGCTAACCTTACTAATTTTTTTCGATAAATTTCTTTCCCACTTTGTTAAAGGCAAAGGATACATAATCTTCTTCGAAACTCCGTATAAAACAGGGGCCACCAGAGGTCAATCGGTAAAAACGCCAAAGTAGTACGGCCTGGTTCAAATCCAGGCAAATAGGCTATCTGCATTAGAGTTTTCGAGGTTTTTGGCATATGTGAAGTGACTACGAGTAGTTTCCGCTGGTGAGTAATCCATGAAAGCATCCTTTCCCTAGACAAATAGCCCTCCCCTACTTTGCCGTATTCCAAATAAACTAATCGGCATAAGTCATGACAAAAGTATTGCTTGCTCAAAGTCCTTAGAATTAAAATTCAGTAATTAGCTTTTATTTAGGAATTTAAATACAAAAATCATATCAAAAGTCTTGCTTGTTCTCAACGGTAAAACAGTTCTTGATTTGAAACAAGAGCTGTTTTACCGTTTACAGCCGAGCGGTAAAAGCCGTTGAACACTGGTAGTTCGGTCCAGGTTTCGAGTCCCGGCGAACGGGATGGCTGCATGGGCATTTTCGTGAATTTCCCCAAGCGTACCGTGGATACGAGTCAGTTTCCCTTAAAAAGGCCTCCACGGGGCATATTCCCTTTCCGTACAATGCCTAAAGGCGGAGCACGTAATTTGTAAACAAAAATGTAGGCAAGGAAAATAATTAAGTACCCATGCGTTATTGCTCAGCCAGCACCTTCCGGTTCAGGCAGCAATTCTGAAGCAAAAACCGCAAACGTAAATGTAACCGTCATAGTAAACTGATACTCCATTTAAAAGGGTTTTCTTGCTAACTGAATAATCTATTTCATTCGTATTAGCGGAAACACAAAACTAGTATTCATTTCCTGATTATATATTTTTTTCGATAAACCAAATTACAATTGAAATTCTTGTCGTACAATAGGAAAAAAAGGCATAATATGGATAGATATTATTAAATTTTGTTTTTAATAAGAGGAAATTGTTCAGATACAGCCTGATTGTTCAGACACGGATACTGCAACATGGGAGAAAACAGTGATAATTAACATTTAAAAGCCAAGAACGATAAATAATAAGAAAATAACTAAAAATGAATGTGTGAAAATGTATCCTCAGGATATTTTGAAATAAAAAGGAAATTCACTGGAGCATTAAGATCGGAGCATGCTTCAGCGTTTATAAAAACATTTGTTACGGTTCCGTAATCTTGCAGATACTATGTAACTATTATTATTTTTTAATGAGAATAACCTCGTGGCCGCTGCTTTGCTCTTTAGCAGTTCTGCGGAATTCCCAGGTTTGTTACAAGAAGCATCTCTTGAAGCTTTTTTGCATAAGGATTGAATTAAGGGATTTTTGATTAGGGCAAAGCATAATGGAATATACAAGAACATACAAGCGCCATATGCTTAATGAAAGGGATACCTTTCCAAGGAACACTAAACCGTATTTATAGCTTTAAACACAAGGGGAATAAAGAAATTCTCTTGGTTTGGTTTATTATGTCAAAGCACACGAGGGCTACCTGCCAAAGGGGAAGGATGCCCTCATGGATAACTTTCTAAGGGAAACTGGCTCGTATACACGTTACACACGGGTAAAACCCCGAAAACGCCCATGCAGCCAGCACGTTCGCCGGGATTCAAACCTCGGACCGATCTACCAGTGTTCAGCGGCTTTACCGATCCGCCTCTGGTTGGCAGAAATCCTGAAATACTAAAATTTCAGTAGAAGTTATTTCATTATGCTTGAACCAGCAACAATTAATTTGCTTTTGTTTCCATTTTTATGAAAAATTTCAGCTCTTACCGATATTTCGTTACATTCGTTTCATTTTTTTAACTTTAAGAGATTGTATTCTTTGAGGTATAATTTTATTCACCGGGAAGGTTGCAATATCCAGTTTCTTCACAAATGACTTGGTGTACACAGGTTCCTTTCCCTTTAATCATAACTATTACGTCTTAATAATTAGAAAATTACATAGTCCATGATTAGTTAAACATTTGTGAAAGATAACTGTAAATACGAAGCTTATTTCCTTCAGCTCGAAGCTGTACTGCTTGGTATCCGACTGTGCAAGTTACACTGTTACACAGAAATCAGTTTTCGCCTAGTTCAGAAGCTCTCAACTTCTCAGCTAAGGGAGAATTTCCCCTTGAGGGGAATTTTATACTTTCAGGGGGGGGATGCGGTCAATCTTTTATTTAGCCGTTTAGTATTTAGTTTTACTTTATGAATATAAAACAAACTAGTTTTATTCAAGTTTTGGTATTTATCAACATTTTCTATATTTTATTCTATTTAATTAATAAAACACAGTAAAAATAATCTAAATTTAAATAAATCTATACATATGTTTCAAGCTTTGGAAAGGAGGGGGAAGGAATGGACATCTAGCAGTGATGAAAGAGCTGTACGGAGGGGTGAGGTTGAGAACCTTTGGTCTAGATTCAAACATCGCAAATTGTGATTGAAGAGAATTTTTCTTGCATTAATTAATTAACCTGATGAATATAAGCAATTTTTAGTAAACAAATATACAATTACAGATATATTAATTCTATACTCTAGAGATTCCTCATTAGCCTTCTCTTGTGTGTAAAAACAAAGGATATAGCATGCAAAGATAATAATAGCAATGTGTAAAGATAAGAAATATTCGCAAGATATTTCTGACAAAATTGTTTGATTGCTGTTAGCATAGTTAATGATAGCAGTGGATGTAAAATTTAAGGAACCTGTAACAACAGTAATATTTTAAGGATTCGTTCGTAATAACTTCTTTATGTAGGGTATTTAACAATTCAATGCCTCACAGCCTTTTAAAATTTTGATTTCAATTTAAGAAATTAATTTATTAAATTGATTTCAATTTAAGAAATTAATAAAACAAAAAATGATCATTTTAGTCACATTACAGGCAAAAATGAACAAAATTAAAATTTTTACAGATACGATCTTCAAAGAAAACTCATCGTTTCTTATTCTACCCAAGAAAAGGGAAGAAACTTAATAAATTGCTAAAATTTTGTGATCTGAACCCTTTTACCCCAATAAAAGAAAGAAACGAAGACGTTTTAAACGCCATAACAAAATTGAATTACGTTAAAAAAATTTTTGAATTTATTTCATTTAGCCATACTTTATATTTTACGTTTATATTTATATTTAAGATATTATATTCTATTTAAGATCATTTTCAGAAACCTTTGTCAGAAAACTTACTTGAGTAGCTGCATCTAAAGATATCTGGTTCAAAAAATTTTACTCATACCTCGGGTTATTTTTATCATATGAAGATACGTTTTTTCCCAACTAGTTAGGTTAAAAAATTTTTTGTTCACTTTTTTTAATGAAACCTGCACGAGCACTTCATTTATGAAACATGCACTAGAATTTTATTTATGAAAAACCTGCAGAAGAACATCTCAGTGAAAGATATTAACTTGAACAGAATTGCCAAAGTCGGGTAAGGTTAGATTAGGTAATTCGAATATCGAAAAAAACACAAGGCTATCTGCCTAAGGTGAGAGGTGCTTCGTGTAGGACTTTTTAAAGTAAACTGGCTCATATTCGCATTTTATATGGGGAAAATCAGAAAAACCAACCAGCCCGTTTGTTGGGATCAAACGCAGTATATGTCCAGTCGAGCTTCCACTCTTCAGCGGTCTAAAATACTTGGCCGTTGGTAAGGCTTTCCCAGAGTAAAGAAGCTTACATTATTTCATTCATTTCTTAAATTGGATATACGGATTTATGACCACATGGTGAAGATATATTTAATCGTACTATCTTTTTAAACACCTGTACAGGTTAAGAGCTCAATGTACTTGATTAAATTCTAATTTTAAAACAAATATTATTTTTACGGAATATTTATTGAATGGCACAGGGGAAAAAAATAGAAATTCCTCTTCACGCGCTTTGTGTTTAGTAAAATATTTTTCCCATTATTGATTTCAAATTTTTCGAAAATAGAAAATAAGCCAAAACCACAGTTTTATGCATAATTGAATATGCCAAAGCTCATAAAGGCTACCTGCCTAAGAAATGAGGAGACCTTTCTAGTTATGCTAAAACAAATATAGTTAGCTGAAGTAACGTTTACCATAAACTTCGGTATATTACTAGAAAAATCATGCAGCGTAATTTAAGAATACCCTAAAATTGTGTTAGCAAATGGATTTCACGAAGTTTTATTTTCAAATTAGTTTTAAAAATACATGATACAGTTTAAGATATAATATTTCTATGAAATATTCTATTATTTCATCTTATTTAATAATTATAAATAATCTAAATAACTGTAATTTCAGTAATATTAAATTCATGTAAATAATTGATCGCAGAATTTTACAGTTAGATAACTGATCAGTAATTCTCCATGATGTTTTCTAATAGTTAAAAAATATATAAACATATTTATGAACTTCAATACAAAGCTGAATTAACCATCAATAGTTATAAAAACATAGACTAGTCCGACATACACTGTATAACGCATAAGAGATTTGCTGAGATATTGAATATTCCATAATTTTTTTTTAAAAAATTGTCAGAAAATTTATCAATATTCAGAATTTATTTCAGATTCAAAATCATTTACTTTTATTTAATTACTAGCATTAGTTTTGCGACAGAATGTATATAAGAGAAAAACAAATTAATTTTACGTTTATAAGATTAATATTCTTCAAAATCACAGTCAGCGTAAAGTCAAAGTTTCAACTTACTTTTCGCTGCACTGGTGACATCCGAAAGCTCTTCATAAATGGGATCCAGATTGTCGTAATCATTCTCCAAAACGTCCTCATCGGTATCATATTGCTCAGGAGAGAGATTTTCTTCAGGATCACAGACATCAGCTTGTTCAAATTTGGCTGCCACATGGTTACTATTATCATCGCCAGATGGCGACACCGGAGATGTCATCACCGTCATTTGACTGTTACCGACTTCTTCCTGATTAGATGAATGATCAAGATTTTCGGAACATTTTGTCTGACGGGAATTCTGTACAGGCACATAGAATACGGATCTCGATGAAGAGAGAACCTACAATGATATATGAATTATTCAAGTCCAAGAGTAAAACCAAAATTTCTATATTGTTCCTGAGCCAATATATATAATATGTGTGTGTTTAATTTTTAGGTTTCCAAGCGATTTACAAAAAGGACAGCTATTAGTATATTAACCAATATACTTAGTGTTTTGTGATCCACTTGTTATCCTTTCCAGGCACAGTTCAGAATTGCATGCAAGATTGTACCACGTAGGTACTTCAGGCATTGCATTATTTATCAACATTTATTCTTGCACATTAATTCAGAAAATTATTCTTTAAATACTACATTTTAATAATTAATGTGCCATTTTATTATGTTATTGAAGTGATAAAATTTCACATAAAAAATCTATTATATAAAGAACACAATTGTTTCCTTCCTTCAGCTACTGGAAGACGTCATAAATTTAAGCATTCAGATCATCATCAACATCATCATCATTATAATATCTGAAACCAGCACTCGGCTTACTGAATGTTTCAAAAATATTAAAGATTAAGAAATTAAAATTAATCTAATCAATGGTGTTATTCAGTTTGTGCTAATAATTTCGAGAGCTTAGACCGCTGTTTTTGTAGCGATTTTAAAATTACTACCTATATAACTGTCTTATAGAAAATTTCTCTCAAGGCAGATAAAATGCCAGTCAGTAATCAATATTGTTTCAGATATGTTGGAGAATTCGGAGTTAAATATGGGATCCCAGCTATGTGTTATCTCTACCTGACCTGTATTTTATATGCGCAAGATTTAGAAAGTTTAGTCATTTTAAGTCAAAATTACTGACATTACTTTTAATATTTTACTGAAAGCATTAATTTGGCAGCCAATGCAATGGTTATTTCACTATGAATTTTCTTGCAGCAAATATAAATCAGTTTCTTACGAAAATAAAAAATTTTATCCTAAAATTCTTTTAGAGGAAACGAAAATATAATTCTCAGGGAGCATATAAAATAAACACATACAAAATAGCACAAAATAATATTGTTTACAAAACTATTCATTGCAACAAAATGAACAGTGATACAAGTTAAGAAATGCATCCCGTATGCAATGTTATGACCAAACCTATCCCGGTATTCTCTTACCCAGTTCTCATGGTTTAAACTCGGCCCTATGTTTCCTACGAAAGAAGCTATGAGGACAGAAGCCATAGCAGTACTTTGGACAATATTGTGTTGCGGATATTGTTGTAACTATTCGAAATAGTTGCCGCAGTAGGAGCCATATTGTGGCAACTATCGTACTCCTAGGTATACGGCAGTTGCCACAATGGAATATGCCTTATGGCAACTTGTCACAATGTGTATTTATTGCAGTATACAACCATAGTGTGTATACAGTACGGCTATAATATGGAAACTATATTGCTGCCATTTATCCGGTCAGTGCCGTACAGCGCTGGTTACATGTGATAGGTGTTGAATTAATTTGGCTTGCTCAGAGTCCTCACCTCAACCCTTTAAGGTTACCCATGGGAGGAACTGGAACATTAAGTAAAAGTCAGGTCATGCTGCTCCATATTGGTGACAGCATTGACCACTGTTCGTTTGCAAGTATGGCGTTCAATGACAACAGCAATATTCCGAAGAGGCTAATATCTCAAGAAAGTGGCATGTGTCGTCAGAGCAAAATGGTGGACCTACACCGCATCATTTTCTACTTATTTACAGGAGAATATTGACCTTCACATCTTCTAAGGAGGTTCAGTCAACGAGGACTGCTATTGTAACGAGGTTCTCTTCCCTTACATGTGTCTTTTCAGAAGTGCTACGAATCCTCAGTTCCTCTTCATAGACGATAACGCTCCATCTCATTGTACAATTGCTGTCGAAGAGCTGTTGGAGAGTGATGATATTGAACACATAGAGTGATCGGCAAGGTCTCTGGATCTAAATCCCATCGAGCATGTATGGAACTTTCTAGGGAGACGGGTGGCAGCACGTAACTTATCGCCAGCAACGATTCTGGAGCTGTGATTCGTGCTACAAGAGGAATGGGCAGCAATGCCTCAACAACTCATTGACAACCTCATATTCAGCATGGGCAAATGATGTGAAACATCCACAGCAGTTAGGTGAGATTATATGCCCTACTAAAGGCTGGATGTTTCTTGCTGGACACCTGCCACATGGATGTTTCGGCTTTTCTGTTGCATTGTGCTCCATGCTGCTTTTTCAAAAAAGTTCCTTTCTATTATTTTGATTCTTTTTTTTTGGGAAGTTTTGCTTACATTACCCAATATTCTTACACCTTGGGGATCTTATGATATTATTTTTGTTGATTTGGAAAGCTTTTGCACAACGTTAAATTGAACAAGTAATATAAAAACAATTAAAGTCAATTCCTACTTAGGTCAAGAAAGAAAAATTTTTATTTTAGTTACTTTTTATGAACCTTATTAACATTTTTTCGTTTCTAATTTATGAAGCTGATGGTAGTCTATAATTTCTCATTCTATCCATCTCTCATAACGTTTCATTATTGCAAGGAACCTTTCCAGTGAGTTTCGAGCAGTCCAGTTCTTCAATTAATATTACATCTAATGATTTCACACGACTCAAGGCGACATATGCTTGACCTGCTGCGAAGAGTTTTTGTAGGAAGCTTTTCTTGGCGCTTATGTTTTTCATTCTCTAATCGTTGTGTTGTAGTTTCTTTTCGCATTCTCCGTTTGTGAAAGGGACATTTTAAAGGGTTATATTTTAAACACATATTATTGTGACGTTAACATAGAAATATGAGGAGAATTTTCGCTACATAATGGGACATTATATCCGCTTCATCCAAATCTATAAAACTACAAATATAAACTACAACTTCTTTAATTCCATATACTTTAAAAATCTTTAGAACTCTGTCTTACTGTTGCCACTTATTTTTGTTAAATATTACAATCCCGTTTATCACAGGCATGTACTATTAATTACAAGTTGTTATAAAATTAATTTTTACGGCATGTGAGAATTCTTAACAAACAATCATTATTTATAATTCTTATAATATATTTAATAAAAGCAGCATTATCTTTAGTTCCGATAAACAGGAATAAATAAGTAGGAATTCACTTAAAATGTGAAAAAACTGTATTAACATCGAATGTCATCCACTACAAGTTTAAAAAATGTATTTAAATTTGAATGGATGAATAAAAAGTATTTTATTAACGAATGAAAATTTGAACAAGATATAGGGAGAGTGTCAGCTAATAGTAGGAATTAAAAAAAACAGTCTCATCCTTAATTTTTGCACACCAGTCTACTTCCATATATACTGCATATTTGCCGAACTGTGCAAACAATATTGCATGCATTCATTAAAATTAATTTAATAGCTGTTTAATATATCTATCATATATTTTTATTTTAAGTACACATTTTATGTTACTGTTTCTAAAAACGAAGATGACGTATTTATGTGCATTACTATAAAATATGGCAAAAAGTGGTATAAAAATCATAGTTGGAGACAAATCTCATTTGTAAGCAATAAGAAGAATTAATGAAGAACATGTGAAATTAGAAACAAAATGTTTTGCCCCTGAAGAGGAAGAATTTATATCAGTCATTTTACACAAAATATACGCAAGATTTTAACCTTTCGAGGGAAGGTGTGAATGTTTTGAGTATGCCATTTTCGTGTTCCGGCAAAATAGAAATTGTTCCCAGTCACTTGTTGAGACTTGTCCTGAAAACCTTGAGCGAAGTGATCCAGAACAAAAACGCACAACTTCATCTTCAATAATTAAGCCTTTCTTTATTATGCACAAGAAAAATTCTCCACATGGCATTAATTTAGGATGGAGTAATGCCGCAGCGCATTTCTCTCCTAGCGTTTATTTTGAATAATTCTATTTAAATGAAGTGATACCTCGTTATCCGTCATTAATCCGTTCCGGATCTTTGGATGTATACCACACGAACATTATCAATAAGAAATAAAGGGAAACTAATAATTCATTCTTATAAGTCGGTCGTATTATTATAATCATATCACTATTTAATACTAAAATACCACTGCAGTGAGTGAAATAGATACTGCACATAAATGATATAATTGAGGATATTGAACAGTTGAGTACATAAGTATTGCTACACAAAACTATTGCACATAAGTAAGCTACACAAATGTTTTTCAGCTATTTAGATAAAAAGCAATTATTTAACATGCTTTAACCTTTTTCGGCACGCTACCTTTTAAAGTTGGAGTTTTGCTAAAAAAAAAAAAAAAAAAAAAGGGTAGGCAATCTAATTAGGCCTAGAAGAGTACACAAGTAAAATTTTGTGAAGATAGCACTTATCGTTTAATTCTGTGGGCACACTGATTGAACAGAGCTTCGAAAAGAGTGCTGAAATGAGCATTGTTGTCAATGAACTGACCGATGAGATGCGGAGAAGCAAAGAATACAGACTCTCAGTTGTCCTAGATTATCGGTGAGCCCCCGTCTGGGCATACCTAGGGTTCGCCATTTGATTTTAGGCTTCAAGGTAAAAAATTAAAACTAATATAGAATAAGGAGATTAGCATACAACCAAAAAAATAACACAGAAATTTCTTTTCAAACAATTCTTTTTATACCCTAAAAAATCTGGAAGATTTCTTTGAAAAATGAGGGCCTTAAAAAACTAAACATGGCTAAAATGTATGGACTGGTTTGTGTTGAGCTGCTATCTACTATAAATAAAGAAGGTTCAGAGTAACCTATAGTAACCTATAAATCCTTTTTCATTCTATTTTTCTGTGCGTACAGAAGGAAATTTTTAGGTGCGCCGCAAAGGGTTAACGTCTCTGGTCTGCTTCTTAATCAATTTCACCCTCTTCGCAACGTTAATCTATTTAAGAGAATCTTTGTGTTTCACAGTCATAGACACCCATCGGGAGTACGGCATGCCCTACCAAGTCCCGGATGCGCGTGCCATCTTCATACCTTCTAACAATCTCTTTTTCACCTCCATGGTGAGCCTAACAATTTTCTTCATTGCAATCACAAAACATTACGCGAAAAAACGCAAAATCACTTAAAATTTGAGAGAATAGTGCAAAAGGCGTACTACGCTCATGAGCAGTCGAACTACCATTGTCTCGAAAGATGTAGACAAGTGTAATGCGCCCAATCGTGACTCATCGAACTCGAGTCGTATTCCAGACAAAAATTTTCTCATGCAAACAGGACGTATAACACATTGGACGTACTTCAAAACGGACGTATACCGAGGTACCTACATATGGTTTTAGGTTCTTCACCGTGATCTGCTAAGAATTAATTCTTAAACCTGTAGGCGTATCATAACTGTTTAATTTAAAACTATTTAAAACATTAAAAGAATCTGAAAAGAGAAGATCCGAACGCAACTGGTTTCATTTTTTTTTAAATTTTTTTAAAAAAAATTGTAAACCTTTCATTTTTTTTAAAAATATAAAAAAATGAAAGGTTTACAATTTTTTTGAAGATTTTTAGTGGTAAACCCCTCTTTAAAATTTCAGCATGTAATTTAAGTTTAAAGGTTGCAATATTTTACGATTTATTTATTTATGCATTCATTTAATTTGCCTAATTTTGCATTTTAGACTGGCTCGTGTCTCTTCCATATATAACGAAGCAAATATTTTCCCTTTAATATATCATTTTTTAAGGCTTTAAAAGGAAGAAGTTTCTTCCATATTCTCACATTTCCTGCTTAGGTATTTGACACAGTCGTAAATAGCAATATTTTCCCGCTCCGTCAAATGAAACTGAAATGCTGGGAGTTAGGTATATGTGACAATAAGCAAGGTCACATATTATTCAGTATGTTGTCTCGAAAGCAAATAATCGGCAATGAACATCAATATTTGTAGGGAGGTTGCTAGAGAACTGGGAAACCTATACTAGGAGGAAAGTGGTCACGCTGCTGTGAATCATTTCAAAAATATCGAATGACTATAACAACTCAATGCGCTGCTGATGTTTTCAAGGAAACTTTTCTTGTAATATACAATTCTTTCGATTACATATCAAGACCCTTTTATTTAATCTACGAAAGCTATTCAGCTATCAAAACACACCAAAAATTTTGAAATAGATTTGTGGGAAATGAAGTATGAAAGCATCTAAGCGTATAACTGAAATATAGCTAGCTAGGTTTTTTTTTTCCGATTTAGTATTTTTGGTACATTCAATAAACACATCTAAAACTTTTATTAAAGTCCGCGGCAATATTAGCCGCAAGAGGTTTTAAAAATAAAATGTATTTGTAGCATAAGTCAATAAAGATGATTTCTTAAATATGAAACTCAATTCATGCCTCTAATGAGTCTACTCTGAATCTAATTAAAAATACTTAAATAATTTTCCTTCGACATCTGACTAAAAATATACATCTAACTTATTCAGTGTAAAACGTACATTAATGAAAGTATAAAAATTTTAATTCTGAATTCTTCTGTTGCTGTCTGTGTAATAATTTCTGAAGAAACGTCCTAAAAAGCATACCTTGAAGTATGGAAAATAACAAAACTCACAAATATGATTTCAGGTCTTTTCAGTTTGATTTGTAAGTAATGAATCCACTTATTAGAGCTCTGTCAGACAAATACAGAAATTCGGGCAGCTTTCCGTCGAAATGAAAAAAAATAACTCAATAGTTCCATTTAATTTAGTTCAAATGCTTCACATTTCATAGGAGCTTAAGATATGATCAACATTCTCTTATAATACGTTCGCGTGCGTGTCCGTGAACTGATTTTCTGCGAAAGTTGAACAGGTGGTTTAACTTCCAGAGCACACACCAAGTTGCAGAACATACAAAACATTTATGATGATTTAAACAATCTATGTTGATTTTGATCAAGGGTGCAATATATATATATATATATATATATAATGCTGAACCTGCTATACTAAACAAATAAAAAAGACAAAAATTTGCTAAGAAAAATTTCGTTATAGAAAAATAGCTCTAAAACTGCACGGGTTATTCTGCATTACATAGGATAACAAAAATTAAAGAGAACTTTAGGCATGGGTTGTGTTTTCTTTGTTACTGCAAAAAATCAGGGGTCAAAGGTAGTACCAGTTTAGGACACTCAAGAAAGTATCGTTACATGAACGACATTTGTGCATGATCTTACTCGTTTCTCCCTTTCCTATTATATGCGACATTCTTCAACAAATACTTTACATCTGCTTTTTCATGTACATTGAATAATGTTAAATAATTAGCGATTAAGAAATCTTTAGCAGTTTCAATAAAATAAATAATTTTTGGCAGTATTAAATGTGCCTAACTAATTTAAGAAGATTTATATGAATTATTTGCTTTCTGTTGTTTGAGTTACGCTCAAAAACCTAAACCCTTTTTGCGTAATGATGTGTATCTGAATAAACAAACAAACAAACAAAATTTACTCTTTACCCAGTGATGCGAAAGTTTAAGGTCTTTTTGTTACACGTTAGGCCAGAAATGGACTTATTTTGATACTTTGTGTACAGGATACTCCCACCATTTACGAGTTGGCCGACTAACACAAAAAAATAAACTATTCTTTAGCGTATTTTCCTAAAAAATCATGCAGAAAGGTATTAATTTCCTTTGAGATATAATAACTTATGAAACATTAGTGGAAAGTATATGAATCGTATATTGCAGTTCCCTTTCTGAGGTTAGATTTCTGATCATATACCTTAATCACCACTAAACACGTACATCTTTTTGATCCTACATAAGAAATCAGTTTAGAATTTGCTGCAACTTAATGATATGTAGCGAAAGATAAATGGCATCCATCCAAAGCATGATGATCTTCCAGTGTTGAGACACACTTTATTTAGTAGTTAAAAACTGTATTTTATGGTAAAATGTTTTTCTTAAATAATTATTGATACGCTAAAATTATATGCATCACCGAAATTTTTCATGTGGTGACCTAAATTGGAGAATTTCCTGATGTAACAAAGCAGTTTACTCAATATTGCAATTAGATTTAAGAAACATATTAATACCTTTTCTTTCGAACCTTTCTCCAGAAAATCGAAACAAAATGACGGCACTTCGTCCAGTTCGCTGGGGGACTCTGGGAGTGACCTATGAGCTCTCCGAGCGGATGCCGTAAGCGGTACATCATCCCTGCTACTTCCATCGCCACAAAGAGATGACCTGGTGGGACATAACAGGATATGAAGATGCAGATCGGAAAACCTCCGCTTCGGCAGGGTAGCCCTTCGTCTTCGGCGGTGACCTTTGTCCTTGTCCTCCATAAGAGAAACGCTACCCTTTTCAGTCCTTTTTCTGACATCTTCCAAAGAGGAAGACCTTGCAGGAGGAAGTTTAGGTGGTAAACTAGGAGGTGGACTAGGTCTTAAATCGAGAGAAAAGGCTTGTGAAGACTGGCTGGCATTAAAAGAGTTTTTAATACTGTTCCGTTTGTAGTCACTTTCTTTGCAATCACTGCATGTTGGAGAAGATGCGTCTTGCCTGACGTCGAAATGTGAATGACGATCAGTACCACCTAAAAATTCAAATGAATAGTTAAAAGCATTTCTAAATAAAATATATTAATCGAAAATGTAATTCATAATATGCATTACCAGCAATCCTTGTAAAAAAATAGAATCTTCTAAAATGCTTATTTTATAATGCAAGCCTAAAATCTATTTTAAATTATATTAAAACTCACAAATTAAAATTTTGAAATATTCTTCAGATAGGTACTATAAGCACATGATTTTTGTTTTTAATACATCCGTTGTCAGGTTACAAAATGTTTATTGATAGTTTTCAGCCTCGGTGAGAAACAAAAGTATTCCTGTAAAACTACATCTTCGACAATATAGTATTTCACATAGAACATATTCATACATATAAATTATATTAGGCAACATAATTAAGCTAAAAGCTGTGCACATTAATTCCAAACGTAAGAATAAGTTTTTTAGCTTATTTCATTTTGATGATAAATACATCAATGCAATAACTCAATGCTCGCATTTGACCACCACCCCTTTACTTCAGCACAGTTTTGAGTAAACAGCATCTTAAGTAAACTAGCTCATCAATTATAAACAGTAATACAAATAGAACGTACGATTTATATTACAACTTAGTTTATATATGATTTATTGCCATTTTTCTTCATTGATTCCTGAACACACTGCAATTTGCATTTGCAAAGAGAGAAAGCACTTAGCTAAAAAGAAGTGTATAGTTTTAAATATATAAAATTCACAAAATAGCCAGTATCATTTTGCTGAAATATTCTAAAAAATAAAACCACTCATTTAATCAGGAGGATAATGAAAATGCACACACACATATATATATATATTCCAGGAAAATCAAAAGCTTTAGGGGAAAGGAAGAACTTTACTTTCAACAGAAACTGAAAGATTATACACAAATTAAGCAACTGAATTACATATAAATATAACTAATGACCTACAACACTTAATATTGCTTATTTTGGATAGCCTATGTGCACACAAATCACAGCAAAACTTATAAGCACATCGAATAACAAACTTCTATGTCCAACATTTTCGTGGGCCTCTTGCATATAATAAAATTACACACAATAGATAATTGAGTCACATTATTAGCGTCACGCAAAATCAAATTCTGAAGAACAGTTTCAGCCTCAAACAACGCATCGTTAACCAGAATAAGTCAGAATTTTCAGGTTTACAGAATTGCAACTTATGAAATAACTTCCGTCACGTGCTTGCTTGTCGCAAAAAAAGCCACAGTTTCGCTAACATCTACAGCGTGAAACATTTAATGTTTAATGCATGATCCTTGCATGCGTGTTATAAGTCTATTTTAGCTCTCTTTTCCTTACTGATTAGTTTGATGATCAGCTGAACCCGAAATAGTGTCATAAATAAATAACTTCTATCCGCATGTATTTAATCATCGCATATGTGGAGTAAAATAAAATCAGAAATAAGTCGTTAAATTCACTCACACGGGAAAGATTTATAGCATTATGTAGATTTATTCTGATTCATTAAATAATACCGCTTATCTCTTTCAGTTGACCTAAACTGATATTCACGCAAAATATAATGGAAATTCGGAACTTGCTAAACAATAAAAATGAGGTGTTTTCTGGAGTATTAAAACACAAAAATAGTTTCATCGAAGGCCTAGTTACTGATGGTGTTATTTTAAGTAATATACTTTGCCTCATTTCTAAGAAACATTTCACGGGCTGTCACATTTAAAAGCGCTTGATATGAAAATTGGATTTCTATTGGGCTGTCACATTTAAAAGTTCTTGATATGAAAATTGCATTTCTATCGCAGGAAGAAATTTAAGGTTCTGGCAAAACAAGGGAAGAGTGTTGCCTTCGTGGAGGACTTTCGACGGTAAATTGATACGTATTTATGTTACACTTGGGGAAAACTAAGCATGCAGTTAGCCTTTTCGCCTGGGTTCGAATCAGGGCGGATTACCAGCATTCAGGCGTCTTCAATCTCTAGAGCATTAGGGGTGAAGGCAGAAATTTAGAGTTTATTCTTAGCCAAAATTTATTGAAATTAGCACATAAAAAATATTGTATGTCTTTGTATTTCGTTTCGATTACTAAAATTACAACCAAATGTTTTTCCCCTGTCGGCGAAAGGTCTCAATACACTTAATTTACAAACATAATACAGTAATTCTAATTTTATCATTATTCCTTAAATTCATGTTAGCAATAATATTCTTCAGTCTCGAGTTTTTTTTGTAACAGAATGCAAGTAAGCTTAGAAATTCGGTTTCGGACATTCACCGACAGCTGTTGGCCGACATGGACGTTCAACCGACATGGACATTTAAAAGACACGGACGTTTAGTCGACGAGTTCTAAATGTATGCCGACGTGTCGGCAAAGTGTCACGGATGCTTACGGATGCCTGTCAAATTTCGTACAACTTTAAGAATAAAATGTAAGATAGAATTCAATTCATATGAATAACACTTAATGCGCGTTTTCGTCCAGTCTATTAATTAGTTTGCTGTATTTTAGATATCCCAAAGATCATTTAGTTTCCAGTAGGAAAAGTGGCATATATTTCGCTTTGAGCAACTTTTTCATAACCAACTTCTTTCTGATTTATGCACTTAAATCTGTACTTCAGGGATATTAATATTATTTATTTTGTTGGATTATATATTTTGATGTTTTCATACTATTGTATTTCCCAACTGGGTGACGAAAACAACAGTTATTGATTAAGCACCTTCATTGAATCGCTCAATGGAAAATCGAAAACAGCACCCTTTTCATACGATGAAGTTTTGGTTTCAGGTACAATCCCCACGACCTTAATCATTTCACTTGATTTTAGGCTCTACGAGGATTACATTTAATTTACACATAAAATTAGTTCGAAATTGCAGCTCAAAGGGATCTAATTCATAGTCACTGCAAATGCTAAACAGTATTTAAATCTAGACAATGTTCAAATGTTGATGATCAGTAGTTAAGTCTAACGACTTTCCTACTGTGCAAACAACACACTTGTATTCGATCATCAGAGAATCAAAATCAGTTTAATATCTTTTGGTTTCTATTGGTTGGAAACAAAAGTTCATGTCATATTCCAAACATGGAAAAATAATAGCTGGATTTAACTGAATGAAGAAGGAAATGTTATTTCCATACTTTCAGCCTAAATTATCGCCCATCTAGATGAATCTGACATCATGCGAGACAACAATTACAAATAAGAGTTTCTATAAACAAATCTCGTCACGCGTGCGAGTAATAGCTAGTAGCATTTTCAGCTCCTCAGTTTTCTTCAAATAAATATATCAGTCTATAATCATAGGAAATCCTTTTCATTTTTTAACACCTACAGTAATCAGTCGACATTTGCAGGTGGAATATTCTGATATATATAAGATGCGTATATTAAGCGCATGCCTCATTACAACTATTTTAACGAGGCCCCACCAGTGGCCGAGACCACTAAATACCGTATTTGACGGCATATAAGACGCACTGGCATATAAGACGCACCCTTATTTAGAAGGCCACACACACAAGGAAAAAACGTTTCAAACTTAAAATGTGGTTTCTTTTAGTTCTCACGTTTCGCAAAAGCCAAATAAACAATCATTGAATGCAATTATCAAACATATTTTTTCAATTTTAGTTTATTAAGGAAAATTAACAAACGGCAAGCTATTTTGAACATGATATGTAAATTTCAATAATGAATAAATGAATGAACGGTAGGTGGTGGACCGAAATACCTTGCTGCTGCTCTGTTTCCATGCACTTTGGCGTAGTTTAACACTCCTAGTTTATACTGAATTGTATAGCTTAATCTCTTGTTTCCTGTAGTCATATTTTCCAGGGTATTTTTTTAAAACAAATAGATTTAAGCACCGATACCGACACATTTATACAGAGTAGCACCCATTCCGACTCGTGTGTCGGCTCAGTCAAAGAAAGTCTATGTAAAGAAGGAAAGGATCCATAGACGTAATGTGACCGTCGAACCTGTTCGAACTTCGACATCAGCTTCGAGCTTTGGCGCTTTTTTGGCGACAGATATTTCACGCATGCGCAAAATAATTATGGCAGATGTAGAAAAAGTTATGTGTGTCTAGACCTTTATCCGGGCTAAAAATAACATTCAGTATTGAAAGTTAACCTGTGTCCTTCACGTATAAGACAGAGGTAATTTTTTTTTTGAGACGCAAATTTAGGAAACAAAGTGCGTCTTATATGCCGTCAAATACGGTACTGGTAGTTCGACCTGGCCTTGGGTTCGATACCAAGCAAACGGGCTGGCTGCATGGTTGTTTTTTGTGGTTTTCTCCATGTGTAACGTGAATACGAGCCAGTTCCCCTTACAAAGTTCTCCACCGAAGGTATCCCTCCTCTTACGCAGATAGTCCTCGTGACTTTGCTATATTCAAATAAGCTAACCTAATCTAACCAACTACTTTAATGCACACTGGAATGTATTTAGAAATGCAAACGTTCCAGACAGAATCAACATATTATTTTGTCTCTAACATTTATCTAAACCTACCTACAGTGTTCAGAACAGACAACTTCCTTCCTTTCAAAAATTCTGACATATTTAACTTCGTAGGAAGGCAATAATTTTCTTAAAATACCAGAATACCACAAAGCATAAAAGTGGAGGTATTTTCTGAAAGTTGTGTGATCTCCAATTATCAAACCATCGAATATGATGGAACGAATATGTGTTTTTCTTTCCAAAAATACCTGCTATTTGCCACAATTACAAAGGATATATTTCTTTGTTGGTATAAAGAGCATTTTTCGCCGAAATGAAAATACGAGAAATGTTATTTCAAGTGATGCATGATAAACGCACATTCCTCCCCCCCCCAACAAGTGGCTGCTTGATTGTGAAAAGTGGTACATACAGCACGATTTGTGGTGCCAACAACATTCTGAAAACATGCTGACTTGTCTCTTTGAAAAGGTCAGACAGTTCGAAATGTTTTAAATATGAGCGTAAGGAGGTACTGCTTCATCGGCA